CTGCCTCCTGAGAAATTTGCATGCAGTTCAGGAAGCAACAGTTAGAACTGGACATGGAGCAACAGACTGGTTCCAAATCAGGAAAGGGGTATGTCAAGGCTGTATATTGTCACCCTATTTATTTAACTTATAGGCGGAGTACATCATGAGAAATGCTGGTCTGGCTGAAGTGCAAGCTGGAATCAAGATTGCCAGGAGAAATATCAATAACCTCAGCTATGCAGATGACACCATCCTTATGGCAGAAAGTGAAGAACTAAAGAATCTCTTGATGAAAGTAAAAGAGGAGTGAAAAAGTTGGCTTAAAACTCAACATTCAGAAAACTATGATCATGGCATCTGGTCCCATCACTTCATGGCAAATAGATGGGGAAACAATGGAAACAGTAATAGACTTTATTTTTTTTGGCTCCAAAAGATGGTGACTGCAGCCATGAAATTAAAAGACGCTTACTCCCTGGAAGAAAAGTTATGACCAACCTAGACAGCATGTTAAAACGCAGAGACATTACTTTACCAACAAAGGTCTGTCTGTTCAAAGCTGTGGTTTTTCCAGTGGTCATGTATGGATGTGAGAGTTGGACTATAAAGAAAGCTGAGCACCGAAGAATTGATGCTTTTGAACTGTGTGTTGGAGAAGACTCTTGAGAGTCCCTTGGACTGCAAGGAGATCAAACCAGTCCATCCTAAAGGAGATGAGTCCTGGGTGTTCATTGGAAGGACTGATGCTGAAGCTGCAATACTTTGGCCATCTGATGGGAAGAACTGACTCATTGGAAAAGACCCTGATGCTGGGAAAGAAGGCAGGAGGAGAAGGGGGCGACAGAGGATGAGATGGTTGGGTGGGCTCACTGACTTGATGGACATGAGTTTGAGTAAACTCCGGGAGCTGGTGAAGGACAGGGAAGCCTGGCATGGGGTAGTCCATGGGATTGCAAAGAGGTGGACATGGCTAAGTGACTGAAGTGAGCTGAAGCCTTAGGAAGAAATAAATAGTACAAAACAAGAAAGGACTTTCACACTGAGTCGTGGCTTGAAGCAGGGTGGTACGACTGGGTTAGAGAGCGCTCCAGGGGCAGAACCTGATGGAGAACTTGCTGTCGCTCTTTCCCCTCGGCTGACTTAACTCAGGAGTGGGAAGCAGGCATGAGGCTCCCCGGGCCCCCGCTGGGCAGCCCGTTTTTGCTGACGCCGTAGTGGGCCTGACGCCAGGTCTGGGAGACAGAGCAGGAAGCACGCAGGGCTGAGCCTCTGCCTTCGGGGATAAGAGATGGTGATCACTCAGCGAAATGCATCCTTTCAGGTACTGACACTCGGCAGGCTTGAAGAGTGCTCTGAAATGGGTGACAGAGAGAAATGAGGGAGGGGGAGGCGGTGGCGGGCTGGTGGAGCTTTGGTGTGCGGGCACAGCTCCGAGGAGAGGGCGTTTGAGTGGAGTGGCTCGGGGCGGGAACGGGGCAGCCGTGGGTTGGGTGGGGGCGTGGGCTCTAAACAGCACAGGGTGAAGGAAGGAGCTTGGGGAACATACTCAGAGGAGGCAGGGACGGCTGGGGGTCAGGGCGGGATCCTGGGCAAGCTGTCGTCCAGGCCAGAGATGCGGTGGCTCCAGTCAGAGTGAGGGCATTGGGTGCAGACAGATGGGTGTGGGGGAAAGCACACTCACTGCGTGTGGACCGCACGCAGGCTCTGGAGGTAGAACTGTGGGAAATCCCTTCCTGTCCTCCCTGAGCTGCTGTTGTGGTGGGAGCGGTCAGTGTGGGATGCAGGACCAGGGCTTGGTCCTGGAGAGGAGTGGGTGGCGAGGGTGAGGGGCTGTGTGCTGCAGAGAGGGGGCCTTGTGGCAGGAAGACCGCCTGAGCCACTCAGCTTCCCACAGGCTTGGGAGCTGCAGCCAGGAGGTCTGAGATGGTCCTGACATTAAGACATGGCATAAACATGAGTTTAAGGTGGGCGGTGTGGTTATTAGATCCATGTATACACACCAGCATGATCGCTGATGTCAGTTCCATTAACACCTCCGTCCCCTCTCAAAAACAGGACTTCTGCATGTGTCTGTGCAAGTATATATGATACAGGACTTGTTCAGTGTGGTCCCCAGGCTGTGCGTTCACTCCCCCAGGCCTACTGGGGAGTTTGTACCGCGGGGCCAATATCTCTCCCAGCCCCTGGATCCACCATTCTACTCTCTTTCTGTGAGTTTGGCTTTTTTTTTTTATTCCACATGTAAGTAGGAGCATAGTGTTAGTCTTTCTCTGACATTTCAATAAGCCTGAGGCCCAAGAGGAGTTGTTGCTGCAGTGGGTGCCAAGTGGCGTGGAGTGGAGGTGAGAATCGGGAATAAGTCTCGTGTTTGATGTGAGCAGTTCAGGGATGGGACTGTCAGTGGCCAAATAGGGAAGCTTGGGAGGCAGGCCCGGGCGGGGAGGACATGAGTTATTAGACCCCAAGTGGAGCCAGGGAGTGGGCAGGTGGGTGTTCTCCCGCTGAGCTCAGGGCTCTGGGCCCAGGATGCAGGAAGCCTGTTGCCCTATGAGATGATGGCGGGGGAAGCGAGGGGGAGGCCAGCACCTGGAGGGCGGCAAAGAGGGAGGGCACCCGGCGGGCAAGTGGGACCAGAGGGCCCTAGAGGAGGCGGCGAGGCCAGAGGACTCTGCCAGGGCCAAGTGAGATGAAGCCTGAGACTGTCCTCGGCTTTGATGGTGTCCGCAGGGGCTTTGCTGACCCTTTGGTGCTGTGACCAGGGTGGAACCCCCACTGGTTGGGCCGGAGATGACTCGTTGGTGAGGACGCTAAGGGCAGAGACTCTTGGAAAGCCTTGCGTCCGGTTTTGGGGAGAGGGCTGGTGTCTTGCCCGTGTACCCTTGAGCTGAGTTCCTCTCCTTCAGGAGGCGGTGGCATCGTGTGGCGTGAGCTGCTGTTGAGACCCGCGCAGGGCGGGGGGCACGCACGGGTGCGTGCAGAGCGCCCAGCACAGCCTCTGTCCGCTGCGGTGTTCTCCGACGTCTAGTTTGCCCCGTGCTCCTCTGTCTGAGAGGCTGCTTTTTCTCACCAGTGCAAGGGGGAAGTTGGGCCAGATGAAGAAGTTTCCAGGTCTAGGTTCTCACGCATTGCCCTCTGTTCAGCCGGGCTCCCTGCTTCCCCTTTCCCACTCTGTCTGGTTTCCCAGCTGTGGCTGTAACCCCCGCTGGGCTGCCTTCTGTTCTGCCTTTCCTCGTCTTCTCCACTTGCCCTAGATGACCGGATTAATTCTCTGCGAAGCCGCCTTGCTGCGGCTTCTCTCTCACCCAGGAGTACTGAGACAGGCCTCCTTCCTGAGGTCACAGCCATGACCCCGCGGGACTTGTGCTCCGCTGGACTCCCGTCCTCGGCCTCCTCTCACCCCCGGCCGTCCAGTTGGCGGCCCCATAACTGTATCTGGCTCTGCCTTTCCTCTGGCAGGTTATACCCAGCTTTAAACTAGGACCGTCTCTCAGGAGCCGCTGTGTGCGAGGGTGCCCCGGGCGCTGCCACAGGGAGGACCCTCCATCTGCAGAAGCGCCAGCGCCGCCCCTGTCCTGGCCTTTTGGCTGCGCTCACACGTGGCTCGGGCGGGCTGCCTGCACGCCGAGCGCCTCCTGCTTTGCCTGGCGGTCGCCTCTCACGGGTCTCAGCTCCTTCCTCCCCCACCAGCCTCCTCCATGGCTTCTGTGTCTCCTGCCGCGCTGTGCGTGTTGGGTGCTTCACACGTTAACAAATCACATCCATCAGGAAACATCGCTTTGTCTGAGAAGCTGTAATGGGAGGTTTGGGGATTATTAACACTTTTAAGAGAGAATAGTAACCGAGGGTTTTTCTGTGTGTGTATATCTAGAATTTTTAAAAGTTAAAAACAGTTTCCAGTGTTGACGTTATTTTATCAAAAACCTTTATAATCTGCAAATGTCTTGGCCCAGAAAATCTACTTCTAGGGCTTTATCCTCAGAAAATAGTTTTGAATATCTGCAGGGAATGTCCACTGGAGTGTTTATGATGTGGAAAAGTGGAGGTAACCTGGATATTCACCAGTAGGGTATTGGTTTAAAAAGAAATGAACTCATGGTACATATTTACGCATTACCTTTACTGACTGTCTCATAAAATGGTGATGTAGAAGGGTGTTGACTTGGTAAAATGTTCATATGAAACGAAGGAAGTATGTTTAAAAGCATTATATTGTTGTCTGATTTCCTTTACCTTAAATTCTAGAGAAAGAATAATTTGCATAGTTAGTGATATCTTTGGATGTAGGGATTATTGATGGTTTTTACTGTCTTTTTGCTATCACCTAACCTTTCTACAGGAAGCGTCCTTTCTCAATTAAGAAAACACTTCATTAAAGTTGGAATTGGATACTTCTTTTATTCGTATAAATCACAGGTTCTTATCTCACTGCTGAGTTAGCCTTTCTGTCTATATGCAGTGCTGGGGAAGAGCCCAGGGCCGCCTGCATGGGCGTGTGCTTCCTGGGTCCCTGCCCTGCAGGCCACGGTGCCTGTTCTCCGGTGTACACAGCGGGGCATCCTTGAGGCTGGCGCGTCAGTGGGCTGTTGTCCCTCGGCTGTGGGGCTGTTTGTTCAGGCGCTGGGCACTGTGCCCTGCAGTAGGGGCAGGGCGTGTGTGGTTGGGCACCCGCCGGCAGGCCTGGGTTGCAGCCTTGGCCCTCTCCGGTGTCCCCGTGTGGCCCTGGGCTCCAGGCTGTGGTTTGCATGTCGGTGAGGTGGGGTGGCATCTTCCGCAGTGGTGAGGGCACTGCGTGCTCTGACCCACAGCAGGCCCATCCTGAAGGAGAACTGGCCGGTGAGCTCCCCAGACAGTCTACCTGCACCCCGCTCCTGTGGCAGTCGGTGGTGAGAGGGGGTCTCACTTTAGCGATAATGTAGGATTCCTGGAGACGGGCCATGTGGCGGGCTGGGAAGTAGTTTGTGGACTGTGCTTTCCTTGTGACTGAAGCCGTGCCGCCCTCCCCTCTTGTGTCCCTGCAGTCTGCGGGCCGGGCATCGACATCCGCAACGACTACCAGCAGCTGAAGCGCCTGGAGAACTGCACGGTGATCGAGGGCTACCTCCACATCCTGCTCATTTCCAAGGCCGAGGACTACCGCAGCTACCGCTTCCCCAAGCTCACAGTCATCACCGAGTACCTGCTGCTGTTCCGCGTGGCCGGCCTGGAGAGCCTGGGCGACCTCTTCCCCAACCTCACGGTCATCCGCGGCTGGAAGCTCTTCTACAACTACGCCCTGGTCATCTTCGAGATGACCAACCTCAAGGACATCGGGCTCTACAACCTGCGGAACATCACCCGCGGGGCCATCCGGATCGAGAAGAATGCCGACCTCTGCTACCTCTCCACGGTGGACTGGTCCCTGATCCTGGACGCCGTTTCCAACAACTACATCGTGGGGAACAAGCCCCCCAAGGAGTGTGGGGACCTGTGCCCGGGCACGATGGAGGAGAAACCGCTGTGCGAGAAGACGACCATCAACAACGAGTACAACTACCGCTGCTGGACGACAAACCGCTGCCAGAAAAGTAAGACGAGGCTGTGGCCTCGGTCCCCCCGCCTCCCCGCACGCCCCCACCCCCCGCCGCGTCCGCCCTCCTCTTGGGGCGCGTGTTTCTCCCGGGTGGGTGCGGCTCTGTTGCCACGAGAACGTGGCACCTCAGGGGGCTTCCTTTCGCATCTGGGAGCTGGCGGGTGCAGCCCGTCCCAGCTGCGACACCCTTCCAGTGACACGCTAGAAACCACCCTCTGTGCTCCCGGGCTGGAGGCTTGTGGATCTGCGGCTTTGAATTTCTGATGGGCAGGGTGACCCAGTGTGCTGGGAAGTGCCTAAGCCCCACCACTCGGGGCTGTGTATGTATCATCACCTCTTTTATCCTTTGTGTGAAAGGAGGTTTTTTGGTAACGCAGGGCTTCCTTTATGTGAGTGCACCTGGATTATTACAGAGGAGAGGAGAGGTAAAGACGGGCTCACATCCTGTGAAAGTGGTGAGCTGCACCCCGTCCTTGGTTCTTAATGACGAAGTTCCGTGTTTGAGCGTCCTGGTTTATGATGGAGTGGAGGTGCTGGCAGGGAAGCCCTGGACCGTGTCTAGGAGCCCCGGGTTCAGGCTGACCTGGCAGGGAGCTAGCTGCGCAGCAAGCTCATTTTTGTACCCCAGGCTTCTGCTTCCTTGCTTGTCTGCCTCTTTCTTGAAGAATTGTGTAAATCTTGTGAAACCTCTTAGTGAAAGAACTTTGAAATGTGTTTACTGCTCTTGGGGGTCAGGTGGTGGTGTTTGGAAGCTTCTTGTTTGTTTATCTGCTGTGTGTGATTTCCTCTGTGTAACTGAGCTCTTGCCTGATTGTGATCCACGCCTTGAGCGCTGGTTTGTTGGGTGTTGAAATGGGACTCTGGGCCTTTGTCTTCTTGCTTTTGGCAATGTTTAGGTCTGTTGTCCAGGAGGGTTCCCCTCGCTGGCTGGAAGGCAGAGTGGTACCTATAAATAGTTTAGTGGTTGGCCCAGCTAGAGCCTCAAGGAGTCCATGTACTCCAGCTGGCCACGGAGAGCCAAGAAATCCCGAATTGGTAGGCTTGCCTAAACCGTGATGTGTATAAGATAAACAGACCAAAGGCCAGACCCCACAGGTAGCGTTGTTTCAGCTTCCTGCCAGCCCAGGGCAGAAGCAGAGAAAGGAGGCTCTGACACACGGCGTGCTTTCATGCTCCCTGTCACTCCACCGGTGGGCGGGTGAACACTGGTCCAGTGAGGGTGGGGTTCCACGGGCTGCAGCCAGGACCTCAAAGAGCTGAGAACACCATCAGGCCACTTGGAGCATCCCTGTTGGCTCGGGTTGGGGAAAATACTGTGCTAAAGTCACATTTGTGATTGATTAAAACACTACCCTGTCATTAGCTTACCCGCTGGTTCTGAAAAAACAACAAAGAATATTTTCAAGTAGTTTTGACATTTAAAAACTTTATTTTAAAGGAAAAAGTAATCTTCAAATGAGGTGTCATGTGTCGTGGAGAGATGTTGGATGTGGTATAATGGGGGTGACCTTGGACTTGGATGTGGTATAAGGGGGTGACCTTGGACTTGGGTGTGGTGTAAGGGGGGTGACTTTGGACTTGGATGTGGTGTAAGGGGGTGACCTTGGACTTGGATGTGGTGTAAGGGGGTGACCTTGGACTTGGATGTGGTGTAAGGAGCTGACCTTGGACCAGCTAGCTCTTCTGGGCTGTAGTTGGCTATGTTTAGAACGCTCCATTGGGCAGCCCCATATTATTCCTTAGTGATGGTCAAATATGTGTGCAGAACTGTTCTGAAAACTCATAAGGTCTGTACTAAAGGGAGGTGTTACTTAAAAAGTCGTTTGGTGGGCACTTGTTTAGTGATTCATTCAGTATTTATTTAGGTCTAACTGTGGATTTTGGGCTGTTTCTGGCCAGCTTCTTGTTGAAGAAGTCGGGTGCAGGGGCGAGGCATGAGTTCTGGTCCCAAGTCTAGTAGCCGTGACTGGACGTTTAACCTTGGGCTGGCCCTCAGTTTTCTCATCTGTGAAATGGGGTAGCCCTATGGCGTTGTCATAGGCTGTTGGGAGATTAGAGAGAAAAAGGGGAAAGGCTCCTGAGAAAGGCCTGGGGGGCGGGCATCAGGCCGCTGCGTCTGATGCTGGCAGGCCTGCTGGCCCGACACCCTCTTCCCCAAGGCCGCACCCTGCAACCTTCTCCCGGGCCAGTGTCTCAGGCCTGCTCATGTTTTTCTGTGATTTCACAATGGAATATTTATTTAAAAATAGTGACAGCGTTCAGGGAAATTGTCTTCCCTTCAGCTTGTCCTGAAAGCTCCAGGGTTGGCAGGTTTCTTGGGGATTTTCTAGTTGAATTGGAACTCTTTCCCTTTGCGTAGATTCCCTTCTGACCTGCAGGGTCCTGTGTGGTAGCCACTAGCCCCACGAGTCTTGTCCAGCACTTGAATTGTGGCCTGTCTGAATTGAGATTTTTTAAGTGTGCAATACACACTGGATTTCAGAGCATAATATGGGGGAAAAGAAAGCTATTTCCTTAATATTCTGTATATTGATTACATGTTAAAATGATGCTTTAGACGGATGAAGTAAAACGTTACTGTGGTTAGTTTTGCCTGTTTCTCTTTACTTTTTAATGGCGCTCCTACAGGATTTGAAGTCACAGATGGAGCTCGTGCTCTGATACATTCAGAGAGCGCTGGCTCAGAGCATGCTGCAGAAGGTGCTGGGTTCTTGCCTGCAGAAGTCCTGTCTCTGCTGAGCACCGCAGCACTGTGCTGCTCCACACCTCTCTAGGCAGAGCCGAGGGGTTGTCCGAGGAGCCAGGTGGGGGGCTCTGAGTCCAGACAGAGTGTCTTCCTCGGGGTCCCCGTGAGTGTGAAGATGGCCATTGGAAAAGAGGAAGCACAGAAGCACCCCATTCTTCCCGGAGCTGGCTCCAGACGAAGGGGGAGCGTCTGGAGAGATGTGTCAGGTCAAGGACGTGTGTGAGATGTTTGACAGGATGGAGAAGCCCTCAATTATGGGGTGCCCGTAGGCAGTTTTTCCCTGATACCCCCCTTTAAACCCCCTCTGTAGATCCTGACTCTGCAGGGGCAAGTGGCTTTGTTGACAGCTACCTCTGCATTAAAGAAACCACTGTGGTGGGTTCCCTGCCCACTTCTATCTTCTGATTTCAAGGGGTGGTTTTATGTTGGTGCAAGTTACCCACCTCCTTGAGGTGATTGGCCTTTAAAGAGCATGAGTGTGGCTTCTTCCCTCCCTTGAGCCTGTAGGTGGGCCCCCTGAGCTTCAGCACGCTGACCCCACCATCCCCGCCTGCCTGCATCTCTGGTCCTCCTCCTGCTCGCGCTGCGGCTTTTTTTCTGGCTCCTCTTCCGGGTCCAGTCTCTAGTCCTTGTTCTCCTTGGACCGTCTTTCCACTGTCCTCTCCCCCAGAGTTTCTCACCCGCTGCTTCAGGAGCCTCCCGCCTGCATCTGGCTTCCAAACCCCATCTCCAGGAGCTCAGACCTCGCCGTGAGCCCTCAAGCCCATCCCCAGTCATGTCTGGACCCCCACGGGCATTGCAGCTACAGACGGTGGGGGGACCTCTGGAGAGAGGTGTCAAGTCAAGGATGTGTTTGAGATTTTAGACGTTACAGAGAAGCGCTCAGTTACGCGGTGTCAGCGTCTGACAGGGTTCCTGGCTCCTCACTTCCAGCCCGGGGTTCTCCCTGCCCCCCACCGCGTGGGCAGCGTTCCTGTTCTCCGAGCGCCTGTGTCGGACACTTGGGTACCACGTGGATGCTGCCTTTTCCAGCCGGACACCGAGGCCTTTCCGCGCGAGGTGCTTCCCCAGTCTGCCTTCTTCTGTCTCCCCTCTGCTGGCTCAGCGACACGGCCTCTCCCTGGCAGCCCTGCCTGTCCGCCTCGCCCCAGTGGCCTTGTCCACACGCATGCTGACCCTCAGGCTGCTCTCCCTGGAATCCTGTGAAGGAGCCCGTGGGAGCCCACGAAGCGGGCCTTGCACCTGGCCTTGTGCCTGCGGGTCTGTGGCCCCGCTGAGCAGCTGGCCGCCCGCTGCTGGAGGCCTGGGGGGCTTGGTGGACTCTGGTGGGCTCTTCCTGAGGAGGAGATGCCTGTCTGAGTAGATTCTGGGCATGTCCTCCAGCGCCTGGGCAGCACGGCCGTCCCCTAGGGGTGAGCCTGCTCCTGCTTTGTGAAAGACGAGTTGTCAGGAAGATGCATCTTCCCCCTGGCGCAGAGAGCGGTGTGGCTTAACTGCTTGGTGAGCCAGAAGGCGCAAGGATTAAAAAATGCGGACGTTTCCTGTGTCACTTTCATGGCCGTTGTTCCTCGGGGTCACCCCCGTCGTCCCCTGCCCTGGTCAGAGTGACCCAAGGCCGGGGGTGACGGGGAAGGGTGGAGAGGGTGTGACCCATCCTGAAAGCTGAAGCCTGGCCCGAGGGTGCTGTTCTTTATCCTCTGGAGGATGGCCGCGTGCAGGGAGGGAACGGTGGACTTCCCTGGGCTCCTGGGTTCTCTCCCTGCCCGGCGCAACGCCCTGACCCTGTGTGGTGTTAGCTTACCTTCTGGGTTTCTGGTAGGAGATTTCAAGTATGGCACCCCCTGCCAACCGGAAAAAAAAATCTGAAAATCTACTGCTGAACTTAGTCTCCAAGTACTTTCCAGGTCGTCAGAGTGAACACCGTGAGGTCCCTGACGTCACGGTGCGGCCAGTGAGTGGGCCTGGGCTCTGCCAGGGGCCCCACCAGGCCGGCTTCGCTGCGGCGCTGCCTTCCTGCCGTCCAAAGGGGACGTCTGGGGACGGCGGCCCGGAGCGCGGTGCCTTTCCTACCGCCTTCAGCGAGGAGAAACCAGGGAGACAGGTTGGAGCTTTCAAGGAGAAGGCAGAAGCCGGCTCCCTTCGCTGACAAGTGGAACCTGTTTCACTGCCGCCTCACCACCCAGGGGCCCGGAACTTAAAACGAAGACAGGTGGTGTAATGGTGTATCTCCCCCTCAGTGGGCTCTCCGGCTTTTATCAGCCTCTCCTCACAAGGGTGACCTGCTGTGAGGGGTGGAGCTGCCCCCTTCCCCCTTTTCTTGTCTCGCTGTGTCAGGCCCGATGGGTGAAAGTGGCGACTTATTAGTGTCTGTAAGCCGCCTGCTAGATTGAGATGAGGTGGGGAGACCCCGGGTGTGTGATGACACCTCACTTCATCTCAACGGTTCTGCTAATTCCTCTTGTTCTGCTTTTCGTTCTGTGAAACGCTGTGTTGTGTTGCCGTGGCGGGCCAGGCAGGGCCTGTGTGCACCCAGCGCTGAGGGTCCCACTCGTCCCGGAGGAGGGGCAGGCCGTCCGGGGGCTCCGGCTCGCGTGTCAGTTGCGGCCTGCCTCTCCTCCCCTGGAAGGCCCCTGCTCCGGTCAGCTGAGCCCAGTGTGGGGGTTTCTTTATTTAGAAAGGGGGTCACATGCCCCGGGCCTCCTTTCTCTGCCTTTTATAGTCACACGTGGAGATGGCGTTTCTGCTCCCTGCTGGTGACCCTGTTCCTGGGATGGAGAGGCAGTTTGAGCCCCTGTGTCCCTGGGACCCTCTTAGCTGACTCCGCCTTGGTCCCCGGGCCTTGTTGCTGAAAGGCGTCGTTCTGGGCTAGATGGCACCGAGTTAAGGTGTCACTGTCCCACGCTCACTTCAGAAGTTTGTTTTTTTTTTAATAGGGATCTCGTCTTGGAGATGAGAAAACTTTCAGAATATGTCTCCTAGGTGCTTTTTGCAATTCTAGATCTTTGGAAAATATTCTGGAGTCCCTTCCCATTTCCTTAGTTAAGCCTACTTATAAGACCATTCTGGTTTTTTTTTTTTTTTAACTCCTAGAAGGTCTCCTTCTTTTGTTGCGTTAATATTTCTATCTCACTCTCCATGTGTGGATGCCAGTGTGACATTGCCTGCTAAAGTGGGGCTGACGTGAAACGTGTGGGCCCGTGGCTAATCCTGTCCTGGACTGCATTGCTCAACTTGAGGGCATGGGGTGGGTTAGGACTTAGGTTTGGCTGGTGGTGGAGCCGGGAGCCATGACTTGGAAACAGGCCTTCTCCTGCACTTGGTGTGACTCTGGGACTCAGGCTAGAGGAGGAGTCTCTGACACCATTCTGGGACGGAAGGCGCCCCCTGACTTGGAGGAAGTGAGAGACAGCCCAGGTGTTCTGGGAGCATCAGGGGCAGGAGATAGAATCTCTGTCTGCAACACACAGGATATTAAACAGAATAGTCATCTGTTTATCACTGTGCCTAACTCGGGAATCTGGATTTAAGAAACGTAGAGGTCTTTTGGTGGCGCTACTGGTAAAGAGTCCACTTGCCGATCCATGCAGGAGGCATGGGTTCGATTCCTGGGTCAGAAGATCCCCTGGAGAAGGGAATGGCAACCCAGACCAGTATTCTTGCCTGGAGAATCCCATGGACAGAGAAGTCTGGCGGGCTACAGTCTGTGGGGTTCGCAAAGAGTTGGACATGACTGAAGTGACTTAGCACGCATGCACAGAGAGGTCTTTTATGGGGAAGAGGGGAACCCCCGGTGGAAATCCAAAATCTAGACCATTCTGGGTTCTGCTGCTGGCTAACGCAGCCTGCTCTGGACGTTGTCGGGAGGGCTGAGTTTTGTGTGGGCTGATGGCCTGCCTTCCCAGTCCCTGGAGCAGCGGCTCCCTGGCCTGCAGGGGCAGGTGAGGGGGGAGCTTCTCAGATGTCAGGGGAGACAGCGGGCATCTCACAACAGGGAGGGATGGGGGCTCTGGGGCCTGCGTGCAGGGTGGGGTGACCTGGAGGAGACGGCACTCCTCCAGGGCCAGCGTGGCGGCTCTTCTGCCGTTCTCAGGGTGCCGTGTTGCTGGCCGGGCCTCACTCATGATCTCCCAGCGTGTTTATTCATCCCTGGCAGCATTGTGGAGGCAGCAGCTAACTCCAGCGTGCCTGCCACTCTCTGCCTCACCGGTCTTAGGGCATGTTTAGGTGGCCCTGCACCTGGACGGTGTGGCTTTCCCCTGTGGACCATCGTGGCATTTAAGATTGATGTTTGCAAGGATATGTAATTTTGTACAAAATGGGACTCAAGAAAGTAAACCGCCTTCCAGCACGGACACACGGCACCGTGTGGCGGAGGTTTGAGCGCAGTCCGTGGGTCGAGAGGGCTCTGCCACCATGCTCTGTGCCCCAGGCGCTGAGGTGTGCCTGCCAGGCCCCATCCTCCGCCTGAAGCGGGGGTGAGCAGGTCTGGCGCTCGTAAAGCGCCACAGTGCCCAGCACATCGTAGGTTCTTAGGAAAGACTGCTGGTCTTTCTCAAAAATTAAATACCTGAGAGCTGCATTCTGAGATCGTTTAAAATTCTGAGCATTCTGACTGTGTATGTTTATTGCCATGTCTTCTATGGTCTTTCTCTGTTACTTTTTCTAAATTGCAAAAATTCAATTATCATAAATAGCATGGCACAGTGTAGGAGTGGTTCTCGCTAATTTAATCCAAATTGTTCAAATTCCTGTGTCTGTCCAGATAAGCTGTATCTTGCAAGAACATTCAGTGAGGACATATGTCCGTATGGGTAGGCAAGTAGGGGCCTCTGCCGTTACAGGTGAACTGTGTTTATTTGGTTATCAAACCCTATGAACTTACTACATTTGCAGGCTTGGTGTTGGGAAGAATTAAGAATATCAACAACAAGATTCTTGTTTGATACTAACTTTAAGTATTATCTTTTTTAAAAACGTGTTTTCCTCAGAGAGCAGCAAAGTGGTTAGAGTGGGCCAATTTGGGGTAAAGATAATGAGGGTGTGCACTTTTATTTGTGACCACTGCAGGTCCCACAGAGCCAAAGCAGCTCAGCACGTGCCCCCTGCAGAAGCGTGTGCCCCCTGCAGAAGCGTGTGCCTGTTCACTCCCTCCTTTGGGTAGCACTTGCTGTGTGTGTGTGCGCGCACGCGCGTGTGTGCACACCACCGTGCTCTCCCACCCAGTCTCCTCGCCTGCTCTGGCTGTTCTGTTTTCCTTCCTCTCTCTCCTCTCACCCGCAGCGCAGGAAACACACACTGGCTCCCTCTGTCCTCCCCGAGATCTTCCTTCCGTTCGAGGGGATCAGGTGGGTGGGAAAACGCTGTGCAGGAATGCAGGCCCTCTCCCGGAAGCCTGGCTCCTGTTTCAGCTCGTTATGGAACAGGAGTCGCTGTTTGTTTCTCGGCCTTGGTCACAAGCAGCCGGCCAGCCCGCTTCCCTTTCTTTGTGCCGGTTTTCGCGGCACCCACGTGGGATGGGAACAGAGGCAGTGTGTTTGGGGGCGCTACGTTAAGGTTGTGCACGCAGAGCGACCCATGCGGAGCTGTCTCCTCGTTTCCGCGAGTCCTAAGGAGGGGGCTGGGGAAGGGGGAGGTTTGGGGGCCGGTGCGGGGAGGCCGTGTGGCCCCCGGCCCTGAGCCGTCTTGCCCTGGGGCCCCGGGAAGCAGGGCCCGGCTCCAAGGGGCCTCCGCCTGCCCTTGGCGGCAGATCTGTGAGCCGAGGCTGCCATTCTGGATTTCCGGATAGATAAAAAGGGCTTGGATGGTTTTTAGCAGCTGCCGAGACTGGGTAGTTGGGCTTAGTAGTAAAAAAGGGCAAAAAGAAAAATTGGGAAGCATAGAGCCTGTGATGCACAAAAAGGCAACATGAAGGTTGCTATTATTAGAAGCACTTCCTGGACAGCCAAAGTGTTCAAATTAAGACTTTTTTTTTTTAACCCAAGAAGGTATTGGGTGGTAACATGGAGACAAATGGAAACTGGTCAGATTCCCTGGGTCCAGAAAAGGCAAAGAGCTTTGTTCCTGAGGTTCCCAGTGTGATGTTTCTGTCCTGACTTCTTGACTTCGGAATGGCCCCTTGTGCCTGGCTAAAATGATGATATTATTCAGATCTTAGACTGCTCCTCAGGTTATAGGATGTATTTTTGTTCTCTTCTTCCGTGGACTAGAAGTGATGGGATTATTTTGTAATACAGCGGTACTCTTCTAGAAGCATTTGCGTAGCTGTGTCAGAGACACTCTGGAGCAGGTTTTTAAGCAGGGTGATGGGAAATGCCCTCGAGTTCTCCTCCATTCACAAGGAAAGACGGAGCAGCCTGGGTGCAGGATGGGGCGTCTTAGACTCCCCCTTGGAAGTAACTTAACTAGTGGTCTGGGGGTACAGTTTAGGTGACGGGGTGTCATCCTCTGAGATCACCGGGTTCCCCACCACCCCGTCCTCGGCCACCCCCTCATCCTGACTGTCCTTTCGCATCCAGTGTGGGAGTTGAGACTCTCCCGATCTTGATACCATCGTCGTTTATGAATAGAATTCTGAGAATGTATCATTTTTTTCCCAGAAGAATGCTTCTTTAGCTCCACAGATACTTCTTGTTTGCTAAGAAAAATATCCTTGGAAAACTCACTGGATGCCCGAGATGGGCGCCTAGGCGGGGGGTGAACTTCTGGGTCTGCTTCCATCAAGCAGTATTTTATTGACAGGCGATTGATAAAACAGCCACAGCCAACTTAACAGACTGTCACTGTAAGATAAATTTGTTTTGCAGGATTAGTTTGCTGTTCCATTTTGGAGACGACAGCTCTCTGGGCCTGCTGTGCCTTCTGCCCATTACCAGGCAGAGGGAGTGGTGAGGCTGCAGTCACGGCTTCAGTGAACGTTATGCTCGTGCTGTGAAGTTGGGGACTTCCGACACTCGACTTGACTTGGTCTCGTGGGAAGGTTTAGACTGTTTGTTTGGGTAAATGCAACTCTGTCTTGCTGGGCACTGTTGTAATTCATGGAGAGCCTCGGCGCTTAGAGAGGAGCCACTGAAGCTGTGTAAGGAGGGATTAGATGGTGATGAGAGAGAAGTGGTGATGGGGATGGTATTCAGACCACCCCTTCCGCAAACAAATAAAAGGTGACTGGTTTGGGTGATTGGTTTGGCATGAGCCAGTGCAGATTCTCTTTGCAACAAGGCTGGTACACTTTTTTTTTTTTAAGTGTGAAGCTCGGACTTTCGTATGCCAGCTCTTCAACCTTCAGTCTTAAACTCTTCCACAATTAGCAAAATAAAAGCAAAACTCTTGTCAGCATCTTCTCATCTCTGAAGCCAGGCTGGAGAGGCAAGTGGTGGGTGACCAAAAGGCGGGAAGGAGTGGGGGGCCTCCTGCCTCATGAGCTGATGGAATTTGCATGAAAACTGTGAACACATAAGCATCCCTGTTTCCCGCAGAAAGCGCTGGCCAATGCCACTGGCCGCTTAGCTGAGCGGCCCAGCGACAGTTGTTTGCCTGCCTGCTCCCCGTTTCCTCATCTCTTGAACTGAGTGAGTCCAGCCCTGTCTCCCTGCTGTGCTGGAAGGTGTTGGGGACCTGGGATGGGGCTGCTGGCGCTGGACTTCAGGAAGCATGCTAGAGCATGAGATTACATGTTCCCAGCTTGCCATGCTGTGAAGCAGTTGCCTTCTTTTTGGGGATGGGCCCTACCCTTCCTCAGGGGCAGGCTTGCGAAGCGGGCCTCGGAGGGTGGGAGGGTGGGCTGCAATCAGCCGGCTCTGACAAGCTCACCATGGGGCAGCAGGTAGAGCACAGGCCAACGAACCATCTCAGTGAAAGGGTGGAGGGCAAGAAAGGCGGTTAGACAGGCATTGAGAGTAGGAAGTTGAGTAGAATTTATGTTGGTCTTGTGTCTTTGACGTGACTTTTTCTGGTCTGGCTTTTGCTATAACCAAAGTGAATTATTCATAAGTACTTTTAGAAACCCCCATCTAATGCAGTTATGTTGCACAAATTTAAGTTCATTTAAATCATTCTTTTCAACTCAAGTAAGCACTCCTTCACCTGCAGTCGGAGCAAGCTGATGGGCCCGCAAGCGTCTCCGGCTCTCGTGGCCAGCGGCTGACGTCTCCCATGATCCTGCCAAAGTGCCGTGGGCTCAGAAGCACTTCTGAATGGTCGGGGTGGAATCACAGCACTTGCTGAGTAGCCCGGGAGTGGGGTGCATTCTGCTCTGCGGCCTGGCTGTGGGACGTGCGCATAGCGAGTTCTAGCTGGGCAGACGGCTGCGGCCACGCTCTTCGTGATGGATCCTTAACTGTCGTCTGTGGGGTCGTCACGGCTTGGCTCGAGTCTGCTCTTCCAGGACACCTCCCTGAGTCTCCCTCGTGGGGGGCTCACAGGCCTGCAAGGCCCACGTGCGAGTGTGGAGCCTGTGCCCTGTTCCTGGTCGGTGACGGTGCCCCTCGGAGCTCTGTCCGTGGTTTCAGAAGGCCCTGCGCACTCGTCACTTGTCTCTTTCTCCGGGTCGATGATGAGCCACTGTGGCTTCCGACTTGTTCTCTGTTTATAAATCTTGGTTCTCCAGCCTCACAGCCAGTGTCGGAGGAAGGCACGGAGGACATCTTCTGGAGAAATGTGTCTGCCTGTGGGCCTGACCCTGCAGAGCTTCTGAGTGGGTTGGTTCTCATGAAGACTGGGGGAGCTGGCCATGAGGAGTGGAAGTGCCCAGGACTTGCAGACTAAGAGGTCCTCACTCTTGGTATCGTGTCGGGGTGAGGGTGAGTCCAGTCAGGATTTGGGGTCCTGAGTGCCAGTCTTGGTGCTAGGCCCAGTCTTGATAGGTATAGGAATTTTATTAATATAAAATGGAATTTATAACATGTTTTTGGATGACACATATGGTTCTCAGTTTAGTTGCTTAGTCATGTCTGACTCTTTGTGACCCTAAGGACTGCAGCACGCCAGGCTTCTCTGTCTATCACTAACTCGTGGAGCTTGCTCAGGCTCATGTCCGTCAAGTTGGTGATGCCATCTAACCCTCTCATCCTCTATCGTCCCCTTCTCCTTCTGCCTTCAATCTTTCCCAGCATCACGGTCTTTTCCAATGAGTCAGTTCTTCACATCAGGTGGCCAAAATACTGGAGTTTCAGCTTCAACATCAGTCCTTCCAATGAACACCCAGGACTGATCTCCTTTAGAATGGACTGGTTGGATCTCCTTGCAGTCCAAGGGACTCTCATGAGTCTTCTCCAACACCACGGTTCAAAAGCATCAGTTCTTCAGTGCTCAGCTTTCTTTATGATCCAACTTTCACATCCATACATGACCACTGGAAAAGCCATAGCCTTGACTAGACGGACCTTTGTTGGCAAAGTAATGTCTTTGCTTTTTAGTATGCCATCTAGGTTTTTCATAGCTTTTCTTCCAAGGAGCAAGTGTCTTTTAATTTCATGACTGCAGTCACCATCTGCAGTGATTTTGGAGCCCAAGAAAATGAAGTCTGTCACTGTTTCCATTGTTTCCCCATGTATTTGCCATGAAGTGATGGGACTGGATGCCTGATCTTCCAGTTGGAATGAATAAACTAAATGTCAGTAGAGTTTAAGATCAACTGAGTGAGTGTGGGGTGTGAGAGGATGTGGACACACAAGATTTGGGGGAATTCTTACCATTCTCGTTTCTGCTGAGTCTGTTTCTCCTCCTCCCCATTCTCGTTAACATAAATCCAGTCTCAGCAATGAGGTGAAAGAGCTTGTATTTTGTGCGTCTCATTCCTGTGGTAAGGGAGAAGGGCAACAAGGTGTGGATTATCAGTAGCATCTGATTTCGGTCCTGATGCGTCTGTGCAGGTTTTGTCACTTGTTACCTGGCCAAGATTCCAGCAGTTTCCATCAGTCAGCCTGTTGTGTGCAAGTCCCATGCCAGGCAATATGAGATGATAGAAACTTAGCATTTTATCTTGAGATAAGATAAAAGAGCATGACGTTCCAGAGAGACACACACGCAGCTCATACCGCGTGAGGAGATACTCCACGATTTTTGCCTGAAGAGGAGGAGAGGCAGCAGGCTCTAAGAGCTCAGAGTGGGTAGAGTTCTGAATTTGGAGCTTTGCGTGGAAAGAGCATTTGCCTCAAGTGAGACAGAGGCCTTTCACGCAGCACGTGCCCGCGTGCTCGGTACTGTTTGCCTAGCACTGTATACACGGCTCTCAACCCGTGAATAGCTTCCATTTCAGAACTTTGCAAGTTGTATGGAATGTGGAGGGTATCATTTCACAAAAGCAGAAGTCTGAGTGGTGGTTGAAGTCCCTGCTTGCGGTCCCGCCCCAAGCCTGTTCAGCTGAGATATCGTTTGCGTGGAATTACTGCCCACAGCTTGGTTCTTGGAAGAAGAGACCTATTGAACTTTATCCCAGAAGGTGGTGCCTATGCTGACCGATGGTTGAGGCAGGGGTGATGATGGGAAGTTGGTGGTTTCCACTTTATATATGATTTTTAAAAAAATCCTCCCTGAGGGCTTAGCACTTCCCAGGTAGTCAGACCTGGGGGACTAGGCTGGGTGTGCAGTGGGAACAGCAGTGTGAGGACTCAGCACTCTGGCGTCCCTCTCAGCCTCGGAGTGGGGGCCGATTTCAAGTTGATTCCAGGACATGTCCACCAGAAGGTGCAGTGTTTGCCCTTGGAGGACTCTGGTTGGTTACTGCGTGGCGGACTTTGGGTTCATTACTCACGTCATGATGTTTATGAAGTGCGGATTTGTAACCCATGTCTGGATTAGATTCCCTGTTCCATGAGGGCCACCAAGCAAGTTTTATTACATAAGGTCAGTGAAGTGTCTGACCGTGTCTGGAACCAGAACAGGCTTGGGACATCTCAGTTCCTCTTTTTTCCCCCTCTTTGGATCTGATGTGTAGGGCTGCCGATGAAAGTTTTGCGTCACTTGTCTTGCCATGAACTGTTCTTTGTGGCAACAGAGGGATCCCAGACAGCCCCCTCCCTCTCTTCCTGCCTGTCTTCCAGTTAGAGAAAAACTCAGCGTACGATCTTTGGCGCAGAGAAATATTAAATCTATGTTAAGTATGCAGACATGAATGGGCAAAGGGAGGATTTGTGGCAGAGAGGATCTGCTGAAACAAATAAGTCATGTAAACCGGCAGAGAGAAATGTGAGGTTGATTTCATCTTTTCAGCTCCTGGTGCTTACTGCGAAGATGAAGTACTGGGGACAGGTTGCCATTTGAAGTAATAGAAAGATGAGGGAGTTTTGAAGCTGGCTGGGATTTCTCTGCCTGCTAGTAGAGTGACTTGGATTACAGACTATAAAAGTGAAGACGTTTGAGGAGGGCAGTTCCATTTAGTACGGATCATGCTTTCTGAGCAACCTCTGTTCCAGAGGGGAAGAAGCTGAAATCCCCAGGCCTGGAAGATATTGGATAACAGCTCATTAAACTCTTGTCATAAGCCTTCACTTAACGTCGTGGGAAAACTCACAGTATCTCCATTATGAAACCGTTTAAATTTCTTTTCAAAATGCACATTGTTAACATTTTTTGTTTATTAAGTGGAATAGTAGGTTGAAACTGAATGGATTTGATTCTCTTATCCTGTGTTGTATGCTCAGAAGACTAAAGTTTCCCAGAATTTTTATCATGGTAATGAGATCACATTTAGCTAGCAGGTTGGAAAAGCTTTGGAACCATTTAGGTCCATCCACAGTTAATTGGATCAGTGGTTAAGATTTTGAGAAAATGGAAAGAATTAAACAAATTTATATTTCTCCTAGGGTTTGGTTTTGTTGTTTAAGGTGATACTAAATGAGTTAACTTTTGAACTAGTAACTTTTGAACTAGTAGAGCTAACTTTTGAACTAGTAGACTAGTAGATACTAAATGAGTTAATTTTGAACTAGTAGAAGTGTACAGCAGGTGACAGTGAACTGTTCATACCATGTGTCTCCCTCTAGCCCACCCCACATTATTCCGTATCACTTATGAACCAAAAAAAAGGCTATGAACTTGCAAGATTGACTTTTGAGGAGGCTCAGCTTTCTGGATTTCCCTGGCAAGGGAGTTTTTGGTGCGGGCCCCAGGAATGAGAGCGGCCTGGGAGGAAGAGGCCGTCTCCCCAGCTGGGTCGGTGCGTTGAGCACTGTCCCCTGGGCGCTGGGACAGTTCTGAAGCTGGCAGTGCCAGTGCAGGCTGAGGGAGCTGCTGCCCATCTGTCTGTGTGGATCTCACAGGGGAGAGGGAGCTGGGGGATCGTCAGGTCTGACCCCGACTTGGTTCAGAAGGCACCTCTCCAAGGACCTCAGCCTGTGCGTTCCCGTATCTGCCCATTCTCACTCTTGGCTGCAGCCATCATGGCAGCCCTCTCCTGGGCCCCCAGCCTCCCTTTCCCGTGGTGCTGAGACCTCTGTAGTGGACGCACCCTTGACCTGTCTCCTTGTGTCTGGAGTATGCTCACCAGGCCTTCTAGCTGAGAGGGGTCTGGCTTGGAGCTGACAGACGGAGGGCTCCGGAGTCCCTTGCCCTCATAGGACATGCTCTGGTTCAGGAAGCGGGAAGAGGGCTTGTCCCGCGGTGGAGAAGCAAGGGGCTGACAGCCCTGGTCTCCCCCTGGGGACCCTTCAGCACTGCTGGGGTATCTGTGGCTTCAGTTATTCAAGGCTGTGGTGCCGTTAGAACAAAACAGAAGCCACTGGCCCTGGAATATATGGAAATTGAGTTAGAACTTTGTGTTGCATGAACACTTTCTAGGAACTCGCTTCACATGCCCTGCCTAATCCTCCTGAGAAGTCACAGCGAATCAGAGGGAAGCTTCGACTTGGAACAGGTCTGGAAGGTTGAGCCAGGGCCAGCCCTGGTGCTCTGGGGGTCGAGCTGTGTTAGAAGCCGGGGTGCCCCCGTCCGCCGTCTCGGGCCAGGCACAGCCTCCTTCCCCTGCGCCATCCGCCCTGCTCTGCTGTCTGCTCCGGGGCTCTGGGCCTGATGCGAGGGTGGGCACGTGCACTTGGCCCCCACGATACGCTGTCAGTGGTAAGAGAAAGGTATTTGCCTGATGGCAGATACAGAGCCACAGCATCTTAGGGGGCCTGAATCTGTCTCCTCGTTCTGTCTCTGTTTGTGATTCAGTGTTTTGTGAATAGGAAAAAAAAGTCCATGTCTAAATCCCAGGCATCTAACAATATTGACAAATGAGCAGTTTCTGCTACTCTGGTTAGAGCTCTTCAGACCTGTTGGAAGATCCCCTGACATTCGGGGGTTCTGCAGATTAGAACCCGTGCCGGACTTCTGCAAGTCCCGAAAGGGGGCCTCCAAGGAGCCTGCTGATCTAACCCTGGTGTGGGGACCCTGGCAGCTGGGGGTCAGCTGGCGGGGAGCTCTTTGGTGTGAGATCGCTGTCTCCGTATGGGTGAGCCGCATCGTGCCCCTCTGGAGCCCAGTGGCACCAGGGAAGGGCTGGGTTTCTGATCACAGCTGGCGCTCATGGGGTAACTGTGAGTAGCTGGGTGGCTGGAATGACCCCTCCAGTAGTCTGCTTCAGGCTTTGTCACGGCCTGTGGGGTGTATGCAGACGGTCCGCCCTCCCCCCGCCCCACCTTTTTTGTAGGTGAGGAAACTGAGGCAGGGAGACCTGATGTGACACGGGTGAGATTTCATGCCGCCAGGCAGCCAACCTGGAATCAGACCTGCTTTTGTCTGATACTGTAGCTTGTGATTCTCCCCATCACACCACGCCACTTTCCCGTTAGCCGCCCTGTGCCAGCCGGTGAACACAGACCCGGCAGTGATCGGCTGGCCTGTCTGCCCTGGAGAAGGCAAGGTCCATGGTCGACCGGTTCTTGCTGTCCTCCTCTAGCCAGGGGGCTTCAGCACACAGCTGCAGAGTGAAGGTCGTGAGGGTTCCGTTTGCACGGCCTCCTAACTCGTCGCCCTTCTCTCCCAACCTTCTTTACGTGACCAGAAAATGTAAGACTAAAGATGAAGATGAAAATGAAACAGTGATGTAAGCGCAGTCAGAATACAGATGCTTAATCATGAAACAACTTGTTTCTGAGTTTCAAATACTGTGCTTGTGTCTCAGACTTGACCCCCCATTCGCTCCCCTTAGGGTGGATTTATTTTTACATTGATGGATTATTTTCACATGGGGAGCAGAACTTTGATGCTGATCAGTGATCAGGTACCCTTGTTTGGCTGATTTGTAACTGGGAGAATTGTTTTCTTTTTAAAACACTTCTTTAATCTTGTAAAAAAATATCGTTAATAAACAAGTGGATGCTCTAGCTCTGATGAAGGGCAGGTTGTGATAAAGTCAGAAAGGAAACTTGTTTTTCTTTAAAGAAAGGAGTAAAAGTCATACAGGGAGTAATATGAAGTGTCAGGAACTGATTTCTTGAAATCAAATCTTGGATGGCCAATTTCACCATGAATTAGTCTCTGTACATTTCTGTTTTTAGTCTCTTTTATTTATTGGGCAGACCAAACTTGTTGCCTTTCCAGTGTTTAATTCTGCTTCCTTGGAGCAAACCACCATCATTTGCTCAGAGTTTTATTCAGAGATGAAGGTGCACTCCAAAACTCTGTTCTATGATGCATCAGCAGAGGTAGGCCTCTGCAAGCCCCGTGGAGGGTGGGGGGTCATGGGCTGTCATCTGGGCTTGGGTGCCTTGCCCTCTGCAGTAGTGACGCCTGTCCCTTCTCTCCTGCTCTCCCCGGGCTGGGGGCTGTGACTCTCTGTCTCTCCTGCTCTCCCCGGGCTGGGGGCTGTGACCCTCTGTCTCTCCTGCTCTCCCCGGGCTGGGGGCTGTGACCCTCTGTCTCTCCTGCTCTCCCCGGGCTGGGGGCTGTGACCCTCTGTCTCTCCTGCTCTCCCCGGACTGGGGGCTGTGACCCTCTGTCTCTCCTGCTCTCCCCGGACTGGGGGCTGTGACCCTCTGTCCCTCCTGCTCTCCCCGGGCTGGGGGCTGTGACCCTCTGTCTCTCCTGCTCTCCCCGGGCTGGGGGCTGTGACCCTCTGTCTCTCCTGCTCTCCCCGGGCTGGGGGCTGTGACCCTCTGTCCCTCCTGCTCTCCCCGGGCTGGGCTGTGACCCTCTGTCTCTCCTGCTCTCCTCGGGCTGGGGGCTGTGACCCCCGTCTCTCCTGCTCTCCCCGGGCTGGGGGTTGTGACCCTCTGTCTCTCCTGCTCTCCCCGGGCTGGGGGCTGTGACCCTCTGTCTCTCCTGCTCTCCCCGGGCTGGGGGTTGTGACCCTCTGTCTCTCCTGCTCTCCTCGGGCTGGGGGCTGTGACCCTCTGTCTCTCCTGCTCTCCCCGGGCTGGGGGTTGTGACCCTCTGTCTCTCCTGCTCTCCCCGGACTGGGGGCTGTGACCCTCTGTCCCTCCTGCTCTCCCCGGGCTGGGGGCTGTGACCCTCTGTCTCTCCTGCTCTCCCCGGGCTGGGGGCTGTGACCCTCTGTCCCTCCTGCTCTCCCCGGACTGGGGGCTGTGGCCTCTGTCCCTCCTGCTCTCCCCGGGCTGGGGGCTGTGACCCTCTGTCTCTCCTGCTCTCCCCGGGCTGGGGGCTGTGACCCTCTGTCTCTCCTGCTCTCCCCGGGCTGGGGGCTGTGACCCTCTGTCTCTCCTGCTCTCCCTGGGCTGGGGGCTGTGACCCTCTGTCTCTCCTGCTCTCCCCGGACTGGGGGCTGTGACCCTCTGTCCCTCCTGCTCTCCCCGGACTGGGGGCTGTGGCCTCTGTCCCTCCTGCTCTCCCCGGGCTGGGGGCTGTGACCCTCTGTCTCTCCTGCTCTCCCCGGGCTGGGGGCTGTGACCCTCTGTCTCTCCTGCTCTCCCCGGGCTGGGGGCTGTGACCCTCTGTCCCTCCTGCCCTCCCCAGGCTGGGGGCTGTGACCCTTTGTCCCTCCTGCCCTCCCCCAGGCTGAGGGCAGAGCTCAGGTTTTCTTTCCGGGGAAGGGGCCCTGGGCCGCTGCGTCTGCCCAGCCGTCCTCCTGCCATCCGGGGGGCCGGGCACTGTGGATTCCTGTGTGCTTAGTCACCGGGCCGAGGCTGTGGGAGGATGGGGAGACCGTGGAGGCTGCTGTCACCCCAAAGGAATGCCCGCTGCCGGGCCGCCGGCCGGAAAAGGTCTTCTGCCGGCGGCCCGCTGAGGCCAAGGGAAGCCCCCTCCTCTCCTTTGCCTGGCCAGCGCTGCACTCCCTGGCTGTGACTGTTTCAACTCACTTTTTAAATGCCTATTTTTGTTGTGTGCATTCCTGGGCCCGTAAACACCCATGGCTATTCAAGACAGGCGTTTTAGTGAAAAGCGAGGTTTCCAGCAAGAAACCCTCCCCACTGGATCGGATGGCCTGTCCAGGAAAAGCAGGCCAGGCGTGGTGGGGGTGCAGAGATCAGCTCCGAGGCTTCGGCCTGGGTGGTCTCCTGCTCCGGGGACCCCCTGAGACCCTGTTTGTGGGGCAGCAGAACAAGACGATGGGGGCCCCGGCCCTCCCCCTGAGCCAGCTCCGACCGAGACCCCCGGGTGTGGGCGCTGGCCCTTGCCCCAGCAGCGCTCTCAGCGGCTCCTTTACCGCGGCGGGGAAGCCCCCAGGGTCGTCCGTTCTGTGGGCACTTCTCGTGGGAGGTGGTGGAGCAGGCCGGGCAGCCCAGAGCCCTGGCCCTGTCAGCGCCAGCGCTGACACCCTGGTCAGGAGCTTCCTTTTCTGTGGCTTCCGTGAGTCGGGCTGCCTTCCTTCCTGGGCTGTGGGAGTAGAGGGCAGGGCCCGCGCCACGCCTGTCCTCAGCAGAACTAGCAGACCCCCAGGGTGCAACTGGAGCCATTCTCAGGGTGAGGGGGTTACAAGGTAGGCGCCAAATATTGAATGGTCTGGGTATTGGATCCGTCTGCAGAGAGTGACATTCTCACGACACAGCTTTTTTTTTTTTTTTAACAGATCTTCACATGCTGATATAAATTAAGTGTAAAAAGGTGCAGACCATTGCAGGTAGTGCAAGCCTTCAGGTCCGCCTTTAAAAAGAATATTTATCTGGTAAAGGCTGGTACAGTCAGGAAGTACAAACAACCTCCCAGACAGGGATAAGCACCTGCTTTCTGTGCGAAGTGGCTGGAGATGCCGGGTGACCCCCCACGGCTCACCTTGTGCTGAAACACCCTGTGGCCTTCTGACCATGCTCATTTATTGCTTTTATTCTTTCTGAAGGTCAGGAAGTATTCCCTGGACAATAGGGTTATCATCCATTTTTTATTTTCTTTATTTTACTTATTTGCATTAAACTGTTTTATGTGTTTGTTTTTTTAGGTAGACCTCTTTCCCCATGTCTGATTGTTCTTCCGAGAGAGCCGGCTCTGTATGGGAATTGAGTGATGTCTCCAGCTCCCTGGAGACGGCAGCTGGAGACCTCCTTGCTGTTCCCACCAAGAACTGGGCTTTCTCTGGAACAGAAGCCTGGGATTCACCTTCATCCTCTATAAGAGCTCAAACAGTAGGCGCTGGCAGGGGCCTCAGTTCAGAATGCCCTTGGGACAGTGTGTGTGTTTCCTTGGTAAACGGCCTTGAAAATGCCGTGTGCTTTTGGCAGGCTTGGATAACGTTTTCCCTGCGTAACCCTTGGAAAGAACAATTCTCGCTTGTAACACCCTGTTTCTGCAGATCCACAATTTTGTAATTAAAAATTTATGGGATCCCAAGGGCCCAGTTAAAGGGCGTATGGTCTTAACAACACAGGTTAAAAACAGAACTTGTGTTAGTGTTTCCTTCAATTTCTCAAATATGGTTATTTGTCAGTGCCTCCTATTGGATGCTTGTGTTGAATATTTTGTTGATGAAGGAGGCAGGATTACATAAGGGAAGGAATGTTTAAAAACCAGGAGGCCTCACATTTTAATGTCTGAATGCATCCCTGCTTCATGGGTATTACCTTGGGTAGGTCACCTCGCCTCTCTTGGAAACATGTAAAGGTGTTGTACCCCATCGGTGTTTTGCAGGGCTTTTGACGAGACCCACAGTAAGACATAGATTTATGTTCTAGCCCCAGGACAAAATAAGGATTTGACTAACATAAGTATTTCCAAAACACTTCTTATCTGAAACAGTGCTCACTGTTCCTACCTTAGAAGTACCATAATATTTTCTCATTTGAGTCTGACAATGGTGAGAAATGCGTTCAACTGATTTTGAGAACTGTCACTGGTGGCGGCAGCTCAGGGTTTGAAAAGCACATTGTTAAGATCTTTTGAGCTCTAGTTTTTAGTTGGTTGTCTCTGAGTTGAGAATCCTGACCCTAGTGCCTGTGAAACTGGCCTTTGAGTTCAGCTTTCCGTTTTCTTACAGAAATCAGGAGGGAAGAACGCTCCGTGTTTCTCAGGGCTCCCTCGAGAACGGTAGGGTTATCAGAATTTGAGGGTGTGTTCCCAGTGGAAGGGTGTATTCCCAGTGGAAGGGTGTATTCTGTTGTCCACCCGCAAGCATTTTTGAATATCTCATATACTTGATATTACTTCCTATTTTATAAAATACCTTAAAGTCAGTTATTGAAGTAACGGAAGTAATGGCAAATTTTATGCCTTCCTGTCTTTCCTCATACTACTTTAATACATACCAAAAACACACAGAATGTATTGCAGCATTATAACCAGCAGTGAATTATTTTATACTGAGGGCTTTTTGTTAGGAAGGAACTTGATTCAGAGTGACAGTTATTGTGCACGGGGTGTGTGTTCTGTTAACTCACACTTGCAAATAATCCCATTAGCCAAGTCCTCACCAGGCTTTGCTGGACATGTGAAGTCATTAGATGAATTTTGAAAATAACTTGGTCTGTGCTGAGAGGCTCTGCGCGATCCAAGCCCGTGGACTGGCGCCTGGTAACTCCGACGGCCATTTTGAAATGTTACCATAGTGATAATTCTTGTGGAATCTCAAGCCATTAAAAGTGATGTGGCTGACTCTGGGCTGTGTGCTGTAAACAGACGTCATGGGTTGTGTGAGTCCTTTTCCCAACACTGCAGTCTATACCAGCTGCAGAAACCTGCCGGTTGGCCCAGAATCCTCACTAGGGACTCGATGCCCCGCTGCCCTTCCTGACGGAAGTCATCTATCCACATAATCATTAACCCGCTGGAATGAGGGGCATTTAAAAAATGGTTCAGTTTCGCCCTCGTTTGAATTCAGTTGATTTGCCCCTTTTGCTTCCTTCTGGTGAGTTTTTCAGAAGTTGGGTCATGACCAGAGATGGGTCACTGTTGACACTATTGCCCTGGATGGGCGTGTTTGCCTGTCTCCTCGGGCCTGTGGCTGGGGCTTTGGCCTCTCAGCCCCCACCCCACGCCCCCACCAGGTCGTGGCGCCTCTTCGCAGAGGCTCGGGACTTGGCACCAGCCGTGTCCTGTTTCCTGGAATGTACTGTGGGCACGTCCGTGGACAGAGCACCCTTTCAGCTTTGCCCTGCCCGCTGCGCTCCTGAACCCCAGGGTAATAATTAAGAGAGTCTATATTAGTCCCTTCTCTAGGTAGCGGAATACAGGTTGCAGAACTCATAAATAGCGATTCGCTGATGGTCCGGGACACAAGGCAAGCCGCTGGAGAGTGTGGTCGGCAGTGACAGCTGACAGCATGTTTACACACAGTCGTGGTGCTGGTCCTCCATGTCGGGTGGAGTTCCTGGCCCTGGTGGAGGCGGTGGTGGTCCACCTTCACTCTGCCGAGTGGGGGGCGTTAGGCCTGGTCTGTGTGTTTGACTGGCACGGTCCTCGCCTCCAGCTCTCGATGCAGCCCCCGTGGGCTGGCCGCAGTCTTCTGCGGGCCCTGAGCTCGGCCCTGGGGATGAGGAGGAGGGCCCTCAGCTGCTGTCCTGGCAGAGACTGCCGTGTTCATAAACTACACAGCCGTGTGGCATGAAATTTTATCAGGGCTGCATAGGAGGTGTCACGAGAACTTGGGAGGTCCTGGTTGGCATGGAGGGGTCGGGGGGGGGGGTCACCAATGAGCAGGGCCTCAGCAGATGGCAGAGGAGTTTGCTAGGTACCAGAGCTTGAGGGGCGAGGCGAATACAGGACCATAGGAGTAAATCAGAGGGCACGTTGCCTTGCAGAAGAAGAGCAGGGAGGCTGGGCTGCTTGGTCTACCTGTATGTGAGGAGCCTGGACTGACTTTACAGGTGGGGGCTGGAAGCAGGAGCATGCTAAGGGCAGGTCTGTATTCAGTCATTAGGGGTGGGGGACAGAGAGGCTGGCGGGCTTGGTAGGTGGTGAGGGAGCCCCAGAGACCTTTTGGAGGAAGGTTTTAGCAGGACCTAGTGAAGGACGAGGGAGCTGGGTCAGCAGGAGAAAAGCAAAGAGCCCAAGGATGACCAAGACCAGCTGGAGAAACTGTAATCGCTGGTGCCATTGACTGAGACAGAGGAAAACAGAAATCTGCAGGGAGGGAAGGAGGGAGAGAGAGTGTTTACAGTTTCAACCTGTTAGGTTTGGGGTGCTTTGCTGTAAGCAGGAGGACAGTCTCGGAGGTTTCTGGAAACACCATTGTGTCTGGAGAGAGAGAGCCGTGGGTGCTGTTCTGGGAGTCATCCCAGGACTGGGGAGGGGTGTGCAGAGTGGGAAGAAGGGTCCCGGGGCCCATTTTTCAGGATAGATCTTCATCTTTTAAACAGTTGGTTTAAGAAAGAACAGCTGATGCACAGAAGGCTGCGCCATAGTCAGGCGCCTGGCACATTCCCTGGAGGGGAGCTCAGTGACCCCTGCTTTTGCAGCTGGACCGCCCCCTGGCCTGGGGACTGGGTCCAGGGGCAGCTCCGAGTCTGCAGGGGAGGAGGCCGTTCTGAAGAGCCCCGGCTCTTCCTCTCAGGTTTCAAACGGAAAGACGGAGGAACCACCGAGAAAGCTTAGCTTAAGATCTGTGTGGCCCAGAGGAGGTCGGGAAGGGAGCTGCGTCCAAGGCCACTCACTCACCCGTGGGGGAGCCGGGCGTCCCCTTGCTGCGGCCTTCCCCCAGCACTGTCACCTGAGAGAGGAATCCTCAGGACAAGCAGTGTGAGCCTGACTGCCTGATAAGTGTGAGAAGAGACGGGAACTCCGCTCCACTCCACCACACTCAGTAAGATTTAACACGATCTGGAGGTGACACAGGGCTGCCTGTAAGCCACTTCTGGCTCCGAAATCACCAGGAGAGGAACCCCAGACAGTGACTGCCAAGGTGTCTTTGGGAGGCAGAGCCTGAGGGTTTTGTCTGGTTTGCCTCTGATCACCTCTTTCTTCCCCCTTCTCGCAAGCCTGCTGTCCAGGTAATTCAGTGCATTCGATCTGCTGTCAGGCAGGAGCATGAGGGGCTGATATTACACACCCTGCAAGTCCTTTGCAAACATGACCAGTTTCCTGAGCAGCAGGTAACACTAGCCTGCCCCGGGGGACCCTCGGAAGCCCCCGAGCATGTTGCGTCCTGAGATGGGAGTGTGTGTTTCCATCTGAGGTTTCTGCTGTACTGTTATTTTTTTGGATTTTGTATTTTCCATAAGTGTATCACTTAATGTGAAGATCACTTGGGCTTCGTGGCTGGGCATAATCACAGGTATTCTCCTTTAGCTATTTTTCTCAGTCCTATCTACAGTCATAGGATGTGACCCTTTTTATTCAGCATCCTCTGCCCTTTTTTTAATGTTTAAAATACTTGGCCACAAAATGCATCCTTTTTTATTTCAAAGTAGGTCCACCTCAGTCAAGTCTCAATATTTCTCATCATGGTTTTTTTTCCTGAAGTAGAAGCACAAGGGGGAGAAAGTCACGTGTTTCTGTCCTCTGGCTCACCTACTATTGCCCAGAATGCCTTATGGAGTTTGCATCCAAGGAGGCTTTGTAAAGGTGGCATAAACTTTGCAGTAAAGTAACTGACCCCAGACCTGTGTCACTTCAGGATCGGTCAAGTGCTAACCGAGCAACTTAAAACATAAACAGAGGTGTGAGCTTGATAAATCAGTGTGTGTTTTGGACTAATTGGTGACCACCGTTCTGAACATTAACTGCCCTTGCGTGCCAGGAGGCTGATTGTGTGTAACCTTTGAATACCTCCCTGAGTTTGGACGAGAGCTAAACTCATATGGTGCATTTATTTTAAAGGACTTTGGTGGGGGTGCATGGATCCCTTTCTTCTAAGGGCAAGCTTTGCATTGTTTAGTTTTTATGCTGGTGGTTCTGAATTTGGCATTTCCTGTCCACACTAGGACAAGTTTGTAAGTTAAACTTAAAGAACAAACCAAAACTATATAACCTAAGTGTGAAAAGCAGTCCTGAGAAAGGACTGTGAAGCTCTACACGCAGCTGCCTGCATTTAGAAAGCATGTATCTGTAGCAGTCTTCCTTTTCTCGTCTCAGCTTCCTGGTGGTTGTGCACTGCGGGCACATGCCTGTGGCAGTGCTGACCAGGTCGTGGCTCTGTTCCCCGTGGGTTCCAAGGTTGGGGGATGGGGGGCCACTCCCCAGCCCTTCCAGTTCAGGGGAAGTTCTTTGACCTCATAGGAAATGTGTTGTATGGAAACAGAAAATGTAGTTTCATTTCCAAGCAAAAACCCACCCGTTTCAATTGGTTAATGCAAAAAAAGTGGGGGGGCATTTTTCATCTCACTTAATGAAAAAGTCTGAGAATGGATCAGGCTTCAGGAGAACCCCTGGGCACCTCCCTTCTCCCCTCACCTGCCAACTGACATGCCTGTACCCTGGCTTCACCCTTAGGATGCGTGTGGTGGCGGGAGGGCTGTCTGCATCTTCATCTAGCATCCACCCAGCTTTGGGTTTGGGGCCCACGTGTCTGTTCTAAGGGCACAGACTCGTCTCCTTACATCTCCCCTGGCTGAGCTAGGCCCCAGTCCCTGCCCTCCACCAGTGTGTTCCAGGGAAGTGATGCTTGGATGGGCCAGCCCAGGCCCCGTGGTCCCCGAACCTCATGGAGGAGGAGGAGGACAAGGTGATCCCCCGGGGGTAAGTGTGGATGCTCTGATCAGAAGGACGGAGGTCAGGAAACAACACCCACCTGCTGGAGACGGGCTGCACGGGGCCGACAAAAGTGTATTTCAGCGTATGAACAGGCTGGAGCTACTTCAAAGGCAAACAGGACTTTGGTTTCTTTCTCTTCGTGAGTTTAGAGAGGGAGATACTCTTTCTTCAGAGATACTCACTGTGGGGCAGAGACAGCCTCTGGCTTCTCCCTCTCCTCCCCACTCCACCCAGATCTCTCTGCCCCGAGGAGGGCCTGGTGCCTCCGCTCTGTTCTGAGTTGCATTGAACAGGCACATCAAATTAAAAACTTTTGGGCTCACTCACCAACATGGTTTCCTGTACAGTACTCCCCTGAGGGGGGATTGCAAGTAGTTATTCATCCGTTTCATTGATCTATTGTTTTTATTAAAAAGAAAAAAAAATCCAACCATCAGAGGAAGTGCAGCCAGCTGTCTCAAGAGGGGAGATGATGGGAGATGATATTTTGATTACATTAATCCATATCCTGTTAGTTCCCTTTGCTTCTGTCACTGCCACTGGTGAAGTCACTAATGTGAACTAATTACATTTGCTCTGAAAAGCCAGAATTTTTAATGCATCTCAGCAAGAAAGGTTAATATTATCAATTTAACAGCATGAATGAAACATTGTGTGTATTGAACTCGAACTGTCCTAAAAGCTTGGATGATAAAAACCCAGTGGCTTCTTTTGTAACTCACTGGATAAACAGCTGTTGGTGAAAGATGCTTCATCCCTTCTTCTTCTCTTTAGTCTGATGTGGGGAGGCAGTTCTGGATGCCCTCTGTTGACCGGGTGGTCTGGTGTGTGACATAGCAGACCACGTGATGAAAGGTGCTTCCCTCCCTTTGAAAGCCTGGCGAGGGGGCTGCATGTGTCTTCCTGACCATTGGGGTGTTTTCAGAGAGAAACACAGATCGCCTCACCCCCAGTGCTAACAGCCTTCCTGTTCTAAAAGCCTCTATGAATTATCAAGACTTAGAGCACAGTGTTCATGTGCCGGCTGTTTCTCCGGAACCAGCCAGCCCCTAGAGGCAGCGTCCTAGAGAGCCGGGTGCTCTGGAGGGGCGCTCCGCCCCAGGGGTCTCTGTGGCCCGGCCTCTGGCGCCCACCTGTGGCCCCTGCGGTGCCCGCCTCGGTGACGGGCAGTGAGGATGCGCAGCCTGCTCCGTGCTCTCGGCGTCTCGGGAACCGTCCGGCGCCTTTCTCTGCTGGCAGCGCGCGGAAGGTTCTGACTGGTGCCACTTTGGTGACCACTGGGTTCCTCGGCGTCCTTCACTGTTCAGATTTGGAGCTTGGCGAGGATTTGTTCTGCTGGGAACGTGCCTGTCTCTCTCTGGCCCCAGGGAGGTGGTGGAGTGACCTGATGGGAGCCGAATGCCTGGTAGGAGCTGAGGATGAGATCTGTCAGATATGTTCCAAGAGGCCCTCGGCTAAGGTTTTCAATTGAAACTTTTCTCCAGTCATTTTTAAAAGAATAAAAGAAATGATTTTGCCTCCTTGTTTCCTGCCCCCTCCTCACTGGGATCCTAGGATGAAGAGAGGCAGGTTTTAGAAGCACGTTTTTCCCCGCCACGGATGTGTCCGCAGTCTGAGCCTGTCGGGTGGCGTTAGACGGGGCGGGGGCGGTTCTGCAGCCTCCTCTGACCCCTCCTCTAGCCCCGGGACAGCCTGGAGCCTTGCGTGTCTGGCCGTTTGCGTGGCGCTGACAGGCCGCCCTGGCCACCGGTGTCCATCGCGGGCGCAGAAGGGTCTCCCGGGCCCGACCCCTCTCCCCCAGGTGCGCTGATGACGCCTGTGAGCCCGGCTCCCCTGGCCGCCCTCGTCACTCGGGTGTCTGGGTGCCCGCTCACACGCGTGTGACTGCAGGCCCGTGACAGGCACTCGCTGCGTTTCTAAATTTGGTCCAGGAGCCTGACGACAGCACATGACGGCAGAGCGGCAGCTACCCTCGCCCCGAGTGAGACCCGGCTTGTTCCTCACTGTGCTCCGGTCGTCAGGCTGGGGCAGAGGCCGCGGGTGCAGTGCTTTCGCAGGACCGCTGGCCCGGGCTGGCCCGTTCACCTTAGACTTGCACAAGCAGCCGGTGCCCGCGGACCTGCTCTCAGACGCAGTCTGTCCGTGCCGGCGTTACGCTGGTGGCGGCCCTGGATCCTGTGCCTGGCCCGGGGCTCAGCCTGATAAACATCAGAGAGATGACTGTGTGCGGTCGTTTCCTTTACGTTCCAGGTGCCTCACAGAACTTCAGTCCTGACATGTGCATTATTAGGCCATTATTAGGCCTCCTTTCTGGGGCCAAGTTGCAGTCCACCCCCACCCCCCTCCTCCTATTCAGGATGTAGGATGAATCTCAGTTTCGTTTTCAGCTGAATTTCTCCATTAAGATTATAAAAGACTGAAATGACTGGCAATTCAGACTTGCACTTGAATACCTAATGATGTCCAACACTCTCTTGAATTCCATCTTATGGGATTTGCCCAGCATACTCACTTGGTCCTCCTACCAGCTGTTTAGGTGGGCGTAATTAACTCCGGTTTACATTCTGGGAGTCCGAATGTTGTGCGTGTCATTGCCCAGACTTCTTAAGTGGTTAAATGTGAACCCTCACACCCTTCCAGTGCCAGGATGTGTAGTCTTATACCCTGAAACACGAACAAAACTAAATAAGAACCAGGTCTAGATGACCTTTCGTTCTAGTTAAAATTCAAAGTTTACATTGCTTTAAAAAAGTTAGTTTTAGTTTTGACCGTGGGAACGACACGCTCATTGCTTTTGCCCCATAGGTGTGCCATCTGAAGGCTGTCCTCTGCGCGTTTTAGACAGAACTGACCTTGATTAATGCTTGACTCAGGAACTATGCAGAACATCCAGGAAATGGTGATGGCTAATCCTGGCCACCCCTGGCTTTGTGAAATTGAGGCTCACGTGCTGCGTTATCTGGGTGACCTGGTGACGGTCCAGCGTGGGAGAGCCTGCTGCTCTCCTGTTTGTCAGCAGTCCTCTTAGTGAATATTACTTGTACATGTTATTTTTCCATCATATTCCTCAAAATGGCCCTTTGGGACTTCCTCAGAGTCCTGCATCATAAAATTATAAATTGATAAGACATTATATCTTTTGATAACAATTTGCTTGGTGCTTCATCAAGCTCTTTCTTCAATATTTGTCTCTTGAACCTCTATTACCTGTATGAGATCATTATGAAAATGTAAAATAGTTTGAAATGAGGTCCCTTTGCTTGGAGAAAATCCTGACTTCACGACTGGAAACGGTCTGAAGGAGAGGACGGGTTCCTGTGACGGCGCCCAGCCTTCATCCGGCCCCCTCTGCTCCACATTCATGATGGGCAGGGTTCAAGCTCCTCCTCTGTGAAGAACGCAAGCCCAGAGAATGTGCTTACACAGTGTCAACGTTCTACTGGAGGTATTTTGGCTTCATTATGTACTTCAGAAAGTAAAAGCCTTATGACTCAATGTCCTACTAAATTTTGGTTAGTTATCTTGATGCTTGAACACATGTTAGCGTTCCTGGTGCTGCTGGGCTTATGATGTAGCCTTTGACGTAACCTCCGTACCTTGTGCAGGCGATGAATTTACCATGGGATGCCTGTGGTTTTTTAGGAACTCTTCCTTCCAGTTTTTCTTTCAGAGCATGTCGGGGCTGTGGTTAGGAAGATGATAATGAGGCCCAGAGTAAATGAAGGCTAAAAAAAATCATGAACAGGTCAGGTGTCTGAGGCTTTTGAGAAGAAAAAAAAAAAAACAATAAACAAGGAACCCAAACAAAGCCGAAATACAGTCTTGAAACACAAGCCATCAAAACCCAGGGCTCTGCACTCACTCACACTAAGAGCCGCAGAGGCCTCTGTGGTTGGGCACGTGTGGCGGGAGGAATCGATGCGTCTCAGAGAAGGGGGGTTCTCTTTTCGAGGAGGAAAGGGCAACAGAGGGAAATGTTTTATTTTGAGATGTTTTATTTACAGTGAATGTGCGGCTTGGGCTCGGTAGGGCAGAGCTCAGTTGGTAGTGTTTGGAAGGCAGGGTAGGGGAGGATACTAAAATATCTGTGCTACGGAGCTTCCATTAGGGCTACATGTGTGAAAACATTCTAGAATTCACACTGTTGAGACAAATGATTGATCTGGGAATTTCTTCTTCCTGCTCCTTGGCACCCTCAAATGCCTCTCCCCCCTTCCCTGTTAGGAATCGGAACTGGCTCTTTAAAGAGATCGAGTGAAATTTAATCATCTAGGGAAACTTCCAGTTTATATTCCACAGGAATAGTGCTTCTGGTTGGCACATCTCAGAATATCTACAGACCAAAAAACCTCTTCCTGAGTAGAAATAATGAAAGGATGGTATTTAATATTGCTTCAACTTTTGTTTTTAAAGATGTTTTATGCTCTGTAGTTCCCAGTCCGACTTCACATTTCTAGACTCCACATTTTAGAGTAAACTTCTTGGGTAAGTAATTAGCAGAAACGATGGTGTTGACCTGCGTTTTCTTTCCCTTAAGTTGCCTCCAATGTAGGACTTCTACTAGGGCTTTAGTGAGGTTTTCCTGAGAATTGGGAGTGCCCAGGAATCTACACTCTAAAAGCAAAAACCCCTGGCTTCTCTGTTTATGTTGCTGCTGTTCAGTCACTAAGTCATGTCTGAATCTTTGTGATCCCTAGACTGTCGCATGCCAGGCTCCTCTGTCCTTTGCTATCTCCTGGAGTTTGCTCAAATTCATGTCTATTCACTCAGTGATGCTGTCTAACCATCTCATCCTCTGTCACCCTCTTCTCCTTTTGCCGTCTATCTTCCCCATCATCAGAGTCTTTCCCAGTGAGTCGTCTCTTCGCATCAGGGGGCCAGAGTATTGGAACTTCAGCTTCAGCAGTGGACCTTCCAATGAATATTCAGAGTTGATTTCTGTTTGTATGACTTCCTAAAACTTTTAGACACCATATAGGGAAGTGACTTTCTTCCAGGGTTAGGTAAAAGAGAAAAAGACAAATATTGTCTGATATCACTTATATTTGTCTGTGTGCTCGGTTGAGTCTGACTCCTTGCAACTCCATGGACTGTATGTAGCCCGCCAGGCTCCTCTGTCTATGGAATTCTCCAGGCAAGAATATTGGAGGGGCTGCCATTTCCTACTCGAGGGGATCTTCCTGACCCAGGGACTGAACCCACGTCTCTTGTGTCTCCTGCATTGACAGGCGGATGCCATGTGGGAGGTCCAGTATCACTTATATGTGAAGTCTAAAAAAATAGAACAAACTAGTGAATATGACAAAAAGAAGCAAACTCATGGATATGGAGAACAAACCAGCAGTCACCAGTAGGAGAGGAGGACCAATATAGGGACTGGGGAGTAGGAGGTACAAAATATCAGGTATAAGATAGGCCACAAGGACGTATTACATTATACGACACAGGTGAAATATAGCCAATATTTTGTAATAATTATAAATGGAGAGTAACCTTTAAATTGTATGAAAATTTAAAAAATTATTAAGTAATTCTACAGAATAATTAGATTTAAGCTTTTGGGAATAAATGTGATTGCAGAGGTGAAAATCAATCAGTCATTCTGTTCTGAGAGGAGAAAAAGAAGACTTCCTTCCTAGATGACATTTGCCATCTAGTCTTTCTGCTTGGTTTGCTCATTTCCTTCTTCAGCAACAGGGTATTGCCTTTTGTCAAGTACCCAGAGGGCCATGTAGGAAAATAGCAGACTCTTAGCAAAAGCATCCCCTCATGGAGAAGAAACTGCCGAGTCCTTTCCAGGCCATCGGAGGGTTCCTCAAGCGTGCCATCGCCCGTGTTGGGGGACAGGCGCGCTTGTGTGCTTACTGGCTGATGCCAGTCCATCGCTGCCTCCTGGTCCTGCATTGCCCCCATGACTGTAGAGTTGTTCTTCTTGGACTAGATGAACTCTCCGAGTTGTTGGCTTTTCCCAGGAGAGCCTGTGAAAGATCATCATAAAGAAATAAAATCAGGTCTTGGTCTCAAGCTTTTAGCAAGCAGGTTTAAAGGCATAGCCCGGTCGTTCTCTTCCTCTGGTCAGTTCAGTTCAGTTCAGTTGCTCAGTCGTGTCTGACTCTGCGACCCTGTGGACCGCAGCACGCCAGGCTTCCCTGTCCATCACCGACTCCTGGAGCTTGCTCAGACGCACGTCCATCGAGTTCTCTTCCTACACGTGGATTTTTGTGTGGTTAGTAACACAATCATATACATTTATTTATCTAAATTTCTGTGATCTGTCCCTGTTCGCATGGATACATGTACACACACCTGTGTTAATGACAGACTTCCAGCATTTTTGCAAAGTTTGAGATGCCTAGTGTACAACAGCCTCTGAGCAGTCAAGTCAAGGGGGCAGACGGTGAGCTGGTGTGTGGTGGGGACCTTAGGGCTTTAAGAACCAATCTGTCCTTGGAAAGCTATGGTTGTAAGCAGCCTGCCAGAGCTGGGTCCTGAAATGGTTCACCCTCCTCTTGTCTGGGTAGGAAACAGCCTCTTCAAAGATCGGTCTTTTTCCTGAGGAGTGTGTCCAGCAGTCCTGCATGTGGATCCTGTGAAATATCAGTTTCAAATTAGCCCAGACCTGGGGTGTGGACAACACGGAGCCAGGTCTATAACAGATCAGTTTGTGGAAAAACAAGGAATTTAGCAGCATTTGAAAATAAAGCCACCAGAACTGATGCTGCTCTTGCTCCTTGGTAAAGCAGGCAGCAGCAGCAGGCAGTGTGTTCTGGCGGAGCGGTGAGATGCTTGAGGGGATGGTGCGTCGCTCGTGAGGTGTCTGTGTGCTGTGATGCTGTGGAGGTGGCGTAAACACTTCTGAAGGGGTTAAAGATCATTTTGTAGCATTAACTCTAGGCTAATGTGACTTGATCTGAACCGGCCCTAGGGCCAGAACTCCTGTGATTTATGATTAGCGTAAGATTTTCTGAAGTTCAAATTTTCAATGTAGTTTTCTTATTTTTTTCTAAAAAGAGGTTCTGATCATTTGGTATTGTTTTAAAATAATATTCTTTTCACTTGTTATAAAAATTAAGTTCACCTGTATAATAATTGCCCTCATAACAAATCCCTTAAGGAAACATGTGTTAATTATGATTTCATGGTAAACAGTTTATTTTTAGATTTTTAAACATTGCCCCTTCTTCCAGTAACTGGCACTTCTGTGTCTGCCTTTTGAAAATAAAGTACAGATTAGGTTGATGTAAACATAAGGGAGGTAAGGTGGAAATGCATTTC